TCCTCCTGCATGCCCCCCACTGGGGATTTGGCCCACAACTCCGGCATGTGCCCTGACCAGGAATTAAACCGGTGACCTCTTGGTGCATGGGTCGATGCTCAACCACTGAGCCACACCAGCCAGGCCGGATTTCCAGTGTTAAAAACATGGTTCCAGAAACAGGAGAAATACAATCACAGGGTCATTAGCCGAGCTGAATTTAACCAAGGTCACTATTACTGACAACTGTAGTCTTCCTTTTGCCTTTAATTAAAAGGTGTACAACTGCCCCAGCCATTCGAGTTTGAAATGCAACACTCTCAAAAGGGGCCCACACTGGAGTTTCTTTCTGAGCACAGGAAAAGGCAAAACAGTCAGGCAGCGTTCACACCGAGCCTGAGAGGGTTAACAATGAGTCATCACTGGCTTCCTGTTTCCAAATTCTCCCAGGCAGTCATCAAATCAAACAGTCAAAATGAATAGTTCGTGATAGGTCTCTGGACACTCTTAGTTGTACCCTTACTGAATCTGTGGTTTAGTCAACTGTGATGTCACTGAAACGAGTACAACAGAAGTTTAAAAATCAAAAACACCAACTTCACCAAAACTCAAAGTTTATCATCCTTAATCAAGTTTAAACCCACTACATTTAAAAACAGTTCTTTTAAAAGGAATGGAACTTCAGTGACATGATGTGTAATTTACACAAAAGGGTAAATCAAAGGATGCACATGCGATTTGAATATTTTTAAACATGTGATTTGAATATTTTTCTTCAACTAAATTGTCGTGTTTTACCCACAAACTTTACACAAGACCAGGAAAAGCTTTTGCCTCCTTAGAAAAAAATAATACTAGTTACAGATTTCTGAAAGGTATTTATGAGAACAAGAAATTATAGAAGGGCTAATGTAATGTGAAAATATTAAAATCAGTGAGGGCATATTCCATCCTAAAGAAGCTCTGGGGGAATTAAGAACGTTGTATTCTTAGTCACTATAGCAGTCTTCCCACCTAGAGTTAAAATGAGGACACTGAGGCTCAGAGAAGTTAGAAACTGCCTGAGGACACACAACTACTAAATGGCAAACAGAAATCATGTTCCTAACTACGTCATCACCCTTGACGTAACATGTGTTAAAGCTTTGTACAGTGTGTGGCATGTAGCACATGTTCAAGAACTAATATTACTAAATACCCGTTGAATGTTTGCAAGGTTCGCAGGCTACACCAGGGCTCAGCAGAAAAGAATGCTATGATCAATGGGGAATGTTTTGTGGACATGAAATATGTGAATGATCACACTTGTGCCATAGGTTTACTATCCTTCTTCCACATAAAATAAAGACTTCTGATGTCTGACAGTCTTAAATTTTCTCTTCTCCATTTCAGTATTTGGATTAAAAATCAGGCTGTTGCCCTGGCCGGTTTGGCTCAGTGGTTAGAGAGACAGCCTGAGGACCAAAGAGTCGTGGGTTTGATTCCGGTCAAGGGTACGTACCTCAGTTGCGGTTTGATCCCAGCCCTGCTGCGGGTCATGCAGGAGGCAACCAATCGATGTGTCTCTCTCACATCTATGTTTCTCTCTCTCTCTCTCCTCCTCCCACTCTATCCAAAGATAAATGGAAAAATATCCTCAGGTGAGGATTAAAAAATAAATGAATAAATAAATTAATTAAATTAAAATCAGGCTCTCATTATATGACACCAGATTACCACGTCCACTTCCTCCTTCTACTAATAGACTTCCTAGTCAAATGCCAAAGTGTTCTTTGGAAAAGATGGTTTCATCACTTAACCCCATCAATGAACCTACCTTAAATTGGCCACCTTATCAAATCAAAATTCCACTCCCTGGCTTTCAAGAGCCTTAATAAGACATGAAAGGAACATGCCTTTAACTCTTGTTCAAGTACCTACTAATCAAGTAAATACCTGATAAGAATGGCCATGTTTCATTATGCAGAGCACATGAGTGTTTGTGTTACTCCAAAACAATAAGAAATTTTTATTTTTTTAATTAATTTATTTATTTATCTATTTATTTTGGATATAGCCCATTAAAAATAAGTAAATGTCTAAGGATCTCATTTGATTTTTATTCAGAATAAAACAGCTTGATTGGGAGACATAAAAGAAAGAATTCAGACAGAAAATTTGCATTATTAATATGCATGGTAATGTTAATATCCAGGCAAACTTTAAACAGCTTTCTAATCTTTAGAACTGAAATTGAAACATGAATCACGAGAATGAAAAGTCAGAACTGTTAAAAAAAAAAAAAATGGCCTGGCGCCTTTAATATTCAAGATTATGCAAGGCAGCCATTTCCAAGAGGGCTTTGAAAGGTTAACTAGAGCAATTAAAACATATGAATTACTGGTGCTTATATAAAAGAGCTGCTTTTAATAACGCAAGTTACTAAGTAATCACCAGTGTGAATTAGTCTCTAAATCAGCTACATAAATGGACAAACATAACATGAATTTAATTTAAAATTTAGAAAGCAAATCAAACACCGTGTGCTTTGAAGACTTAGCTATTTGCCAAAGGTTTAATTGGCTTTTCCACTCAGCATGAGGAGATCCTGGATTGCACTAGAAATTCATGTGATTTGCTTAGAAATGCAAATAATTTGTGACAAAAGGCACATCGAGATTATTCCTGAGTTGAACATTCTGATGTCAACTCAGGATTTTTAAATGTAAACTCACACATCCCACTGGAATGAGCAAGTCAACAGGTACCAATAGAGTGCTTTTTTGTTTTTGTTTTATTTCTAAGTGATTATCATTGTTCCTTCATGGAGGAAGTTGATCTTAGTTGAATTTATCAGTGGGCTTCAGTTTGATGAAAGGTTTGGTGATTCATATGAAGTTATAGCTAAAAACAATCAATATTAGATGTGATGTAGTTAAGTTGAGAAGCAAAAACATTCTAGACTTGTTTTTCATTTAACAAATATTTCCTGAGCATCTGTGATCCATTAGCCCAAAGGGACAGAAGACTGACTCTAATACTTTCAGGGATGACTATGAGTCATTTCTTGTGGTGTCATTTGAAGTCACTTATAAATCTTTCACCGGGTTGAGGGGAAAATGCTAGCATTAGACAGAACCACAAATCCAGTGGATTAAAAAGTGTTTAATTTGTAAACGTATCCTCCAGTAAGGCATCTGGCATTTCCTAGGCAGCACCTACACACTTCTTCTACTCCTCATATTTTGAGCAAGCATTGCCAGACTTTTCTCCTCTGTGAAAAGCAACCTCACTCCCTGGATGGATGCTCTAAGTAGGATTGGGCAGAGTCCTTGAAGGAGGAATACGATTAAGCTGGTTTAGTTAAATCCTGGGGGCTGAAAGTAAAAAGAGGTAACTATTATTCACAATTCTTTAACTATTTTTATCAGTCTCTCTCAGGAGCCAACTCCAGAGAAATTCTCCTCTCTAGGAGTAAATCTCTCTGCTGGGGACACCCATGGGGACACCCTCCCCTCAGTTTCTCCCTCCAAACCTCTCACTGGCAATCAGTCCTAAGAAACAAGGCAAAAGTAGGCAAGAAACTGGCCCTGAGACCACCATATGGGTAAAACACTAGGATTCTCCGCCTGGTCATTCAAATGGTGCGTGTTTTATTTAAAAACAAGTTTCTTTTTTAAAATCCCCAAGGATCAGCTGACACATAAATTCCAGCTGAGATTCCCAAGGGGCCAACAATGAGCTGGATGTATGCTTGAACTGAAAAGCAGCAGCCAGTTCATTTTCCAGGTATATTCCAACAACATTCCATGCCTTTGAATGAAGAAGCTGTAATGGGACCACTGGTAAACAGGAGGAGGCTATTTATAGCTATAAAATGCCTACTAGAATGAAGTATAGAGTACATTTTTGAAATTCAATTGAGCATCTATTCACAAACATAAGACTGTCCCACTGAAATAAGGTCTGGGAAAAAATAAAACCCAGTGGCTTAATCTTTATAAACCCATCATAGAGAACTACCACCAAAAACTTCACACGGAAGTAAAAAATTCAAGTATAATTTATCTGCTGGAACAAATCTGCCCTATTAACAGGGCCTTGAATCATGAAATCACAAGTCAGCATCTTACTGATACTCATAATTCTGGAAACTCCCTAACACCTAGGGCTTCATTTTCTTCTCCGTGACTAGCAGGGTGTTTGGAAAGCGGTGTGCCCCCTGGAGCTCACTTTGGAAGATGTCTGTTTAACTTATCACCAAACACTGATTTCCAGAAAGCCCCTCACCGCCAAGCCACTCAAATACTTGAGTCCCCCCGCCCCAGACCTCTAGACCTCTTTCTTGAATTACTTATTATGTATGTGGTTTTTTTTTGTTTCTTTTAAATTAAATTCATGGAGGTGACATTGGTTAATAAAATTATATAGGTTTTAGAATTTTCTTAAATTTCAGTAATTATACGGCCTTCAGTGTGGGTTGTTTTAGAGAGTTCTGGAAAAGTATGTTCTAGTGACATTACACGTTTCTGTGCACTTCATTAAAGACATTCAGTTAGGCTTCAATTACTGAGGTGAGGGGAAATGTCTTAAGAGTGGCTCATAAATGGCCTAAAAGTAAACATCCTCTAGAGAGGTATGCCACCCGTCCAACCCTCGCCCCTCCCTTCTCCACACCACCCACCTCCAAAGACAGAGCGGCGGTCTCTCAACGCTGACACCAGGTCCCAGTCGGAACCAGAAGCACGCGTATGGGTCACTGCCAGAGTCCCGCCCTGCCACCAGGAGCCACCGCTTCCTGCCTTCCCCATCAAGGTGAAAGCAACCCCTGGGAGCCGGCTGGGGCGCACAGAGGCAGCGCAGGCGGAGGCGGGCGATCGGAGGACTTGAAGAAAGGAAGTGAACAGCCAGCCCAAAACCCGACGCCGCCAACGGAAAAGGGACCAACGGCGCTCCAGGCCACGGCGCACATGGAGCCGGCGTGCACACTCGCTCGCTGCCGGTGCGCACTCACACTCAGGCACACGCGCGCGCCTACTCACCAGCAGCCCCTGATGTCCGGAGCCCGCGCGAGGCGGCGACTGCAGCGGCTGCCCCCGCGCCTGTCGAGTGGCCTTGGCATCCGTCTGGCCGCGGCAGCCCCGGCCGCGCCGGCTTCTGCCGAAAGGCACTGTGGCCGGGGGCTACGCACCCAGCGTGGAGGCGCCGGCTGGCTCGCCTCGGCCGTACTCCTCCCCCTCGCTGTGGACCGATGGGGCTTTGTTAGCTCCACTGGCGCCGGCTGCGTGCGTTGTTCTCCTCCTCCTCCTCCTCCTCTTTCCCTTCGCTGCCCGGGCCCCGCAGCGCCCGGGGCGATCAGAGCGCTCGCAGACCCATGCGCAGGCCGGGCCGACCCCGAGCCTGCTGCAGCCGCCCCCGCTGCCTCCGCCGCAGGAAAAGAGATTGTCACTACGATGGTCCTGGCTTCCCCGGCCCCGGCCCCTGGGTGCCGCCTCCGCCTCTGCCCCCGCCCCCTTTTCCGCGGCTGCGGCCTCCCGCATTCTGCAGAAAAAGCTCGCAGGTGGAAGCAGGTCCCTGCGGTTGCCCGAGCGAGAGGGAAACGATTGAGTGCGACTTTCTCATCTGAAACCCGGCACGTCCCTTCCTCGGCCCGGAACCACCTGGACTCTCAAATTGCTCCACCATCCATTTAGCCGAAGTGCACAGAAGTGGGTGCCTTTTAAGATTGCGGTGTACACACCAGTGATGCAGATAGATTTGACCGTGAACTCCACTGGAGTCGGGTCAAAAATGGGGTTTCGGAGAAAATCCCACTATACCTCTTATTAGGAGTTCCATCTTGAGATTTATCCATAACCTACCTCCACCGTGAAATACTTTAAACCCTACCCCCACCCCCACCCCTTAATCCCCATGGGTAATGCAAACTATTATGATATCCGTATATTATTATAATGATCAAGTACAGTGTCTTTAATATGGTCCTGTACTGTGCCAGGCACTGCAACATGGAACCTTATTCTATCCTCTCCATAGCCGTATAAATGGTACTGATTTTTCCCATGACACAGACATATAGAAGTTAAGATTTAAAATCTGATCTGAAATCAAAAGCTTTAAAAAAATTTTTTTCCCTTTATTGATTTTAGAGAGAGAGGAAGTGAGAGGGAGAGAGAGAGAGAGAAACATCAATTGGCCGCCTCCTGCATGCCCCCCACTGGGGGTTTGGTCTACAACCTGGGCATGTGCCCTGACCGGAATCGAACCAGCAACCTCTTGGTGCATGGGTTGATGCTCAGCCACCGAGCCACACCAGCCAGACACCAAAAGCTATTTTTATTGGCAAGAGATTCTACTAATTTACAACTGTTTTACAGACACTGCTGCTTCTGGGTGAAACACAGGCACTTTTCCACCTCTCCTGAGTTTTGTTGGGAGGTAACTTGCAAGTATGAAAAGTGACTGCAGAGAGGAGGTAGTGGAATATGGTTTTCCTAATCTAATTTTACCTTGGAGATTAAATGTCTAGGCCTGGCTTGGACACTGATTGACCTATTTAGCCTGAGGGATTTAAACTTTTTAGCCCTCACTCCCCCACATTGATTTTTTTTTTTTTTCAATCCTCACCAGAGGACATTTTTCCACTTTTTGTTCAGATAGAGTGGGAGGGGGGGGAGAGAGAGAGAAACATCGACGTGAAAGGGACACATCGAGTGGCTGCCACCCGCACAACCAACCAGAGCTGGGGCCAAACTGCAACCATGGTACACGCTCTTAGCGGAACCAAACCCAGGTCTCTCCGGACCGCAGGCTGACTCTCTAACCGCTAAGCCAAACTGGTCAGGGCCCTGCGTTGATTTTTAAAATAAAGAGATTTGACTATTGGAGGCAACCTGCAGCCTTGATTTTTATTTTTTATTTTTAATTTTTCCTTAACTCATCTTTATTATTGAATGTATTACAGATGCCCCCCTTTTCTTCCCCATTGACCCCCTCCTCCCCAACCCCACACCCCTTCAGTCCCCCCCACACTATTGTTGGTGTCCATTGTTTATGCATATATACATAGGGCAGGATGAGATAAGCCTTGATTTTTAAGAAGCAATGGGGGGAGGAAGTTTGGAAGGCTGGGTGAAAAAGGTGAAGGGATTAAGAAGTACAGATTGGTGGTTACAAAATAGTCATAGAGATATACAGTATAGCATAGGGAATACAGTCAATAACATTGTGATAATTATGTGTGGTGCCAGGTGGGTACTGGAAATATTAAGGGGAACAATTATGAAGTGTATGGTTATCTGACCACTGTGCTATATACCTGAAACTAAAACAAACAAAAATTTATGTTAAAAAATAAATTAAAATTTTTTTTTACTATAAGAACCTCAGCTTCCCTTTCTTCTTCAGAATACTCTGGGTATTTATTGCCTCGTCGTATTTCTGGTTGCAAACCCTAAGACTCTTGAATAAGTCTTTATCATTTATTTCTAGCCAAAGCCCCATTTATGCTCTGATTCATTTACACAAAGGTTCATTTACACTTGGTCGACAAATCCAAACTCTCATAAAACCCCAAATGGCCCAATACTCACTGTCTCCTAACCGCTAGGGAACATCATGTGACTGAAGTTCCGCCGATCAGAGGCTCCTATCCAGGTCCTGCATCTGGAGTCTGTGATTCATAGAAGAAATGTTATAAATAATTCATTATCTGTGAAATGGCTTTTGTGCCCATAGCAGCAGTGCCAGAGGTGAGAGCTGGGAGAATCTAATGGCGATGCTAGTGGTGACCTAAGTGGCTGTTTGATTCTAGCTACCAAGCTACCCTGCCTGGTTGATGAGCCTGATTCTCCAGCCTTCCTGTCTCCTTCATGTGCAACCTGATGGCCTTCTAAGACTTTTCCCTTTGATTAAATTAACCAAAGACCTGGCCACCAAGAACTCGGATATAGTGACTTTTGGAATTATCCAAGCTCTGCCTCCCTTTCATTTATTGAATTAATAAAATGTGGGCAGAGGTGTGTTATATCCCTTTTATCTTAAATATTTTAAAGTGTTCTATAATTTTACTTGTACTTTTAAAGATTCTATTTCAGCCTTGGCCAGTGTGGCTCAGTTGGTTGAAGTCCCGTCCCATGCACAGGGAGGTCTCGGTTCAATTCCCAGCCAGAATGCATATCAGGTTTTCTTGTTCCAGCCAGGAGGGGACAACCAATAAATGTTTCTCTCTCTCTTTCTCCCTCTCTAAAGTAAAAAAAAAAAAAAAAGTCTATTTCAATATTTACCCCCAAATGCAATATTTTTAACAAGATTGGATATAAATAAGCATTGCCCTCAATACTGGTTAGGATGAAGATTTGGATGAGGAAAAATATTTTTTTTCTACTTTTCTAAGTTCTTCTGGATGGATAAATAATCAAATTAACATAAAACAAGTTAACAGGAGAAAATGACCAAATGTATTATGATGTACATGTGGAGGTTTCCTAAGAATATAGCATCTGGCCTGGCTGGTGTGGCTCAGTGGTTGAGCGTCAACCCATGGACCAAGAGGTCACCAGTTGGATTCCCAGTCAGGGCACATGCCCAGGTTGTGGGCCTGATCCCCAGTGGGGGGCATACAGGAAGTAGCCAATCAATGTTGTCTCTCGTTGATGTTTCTATGTCTCTTTGCCTCTCCTTTCCTCTTCTCTAAAATCAATAAAGAAAAAAAAAAAGGAATATAGCTTCTGGGACACATTGAGGCTTATATCCCATTCTTGACTAAGGCGAGGGAGACAGAGATCTGGGACTTCACAGGGAAAGTGGGCAATTCATAGGTAGATGCACCAGAGCAAACATGTGGTAAACAGATTCTTGCCAGACCACCCAGAAACCATGGGGCACAGAGGGGAATCTAATAGACAGACTTTGCTTAGCTTCTCACAGTCTAGCAGATACTAATGTGAATATGTTAATGTTCCCTTCCTGAAGCAGGTTTTTCTATCTAATTTTTTTAGGTGGGTAGGGGGTGGTGTCAAAGATTTTTTTCTGAGTTTTTTGTTTCTTAAAAAGCAACCACCTTAATGTCTAGTCAGTGTTGCTCAGTGGTTGAGCACTCACCCATGGACCAAGAGGTCACCGGTTAGATTACCAATCAGGGCACATACCCAGGTTTGGGGCTTGATCCCCAGTAGGGGGTGTGCAGGAGGCAGCCAATCAATGTTTCTCTCTCACTAATGTCTCTATCCGTCACCCTTCCTCTCTCTCTAAAAAAATAATAAATAAATAAATAAGAAATAAGAAAACATATTTAAAAAAACAACCAGCTTAAAATAATCAATATTCCAAGAGGCATATTTTTAAGATGTCAAACTCTGCTGCCCCTTGCAATGAGATGAGTCCCCTTATCTGGTGGTGTAATTTTGATACACTGCAGGACATGAATTTGTCAGTATGTTAACAGAAGTTGTAAAATGTACACAATTCTTTTCCCCCAAGTAATTTCACTCCCAAGAAATAATTTATCCTGAGAAAATCTATAAGGAGAAAGAAGCTTTCTTCATAGAGATATTCATCACCAACTTTGGACATTCAAACCATGTATATGAGTTTTAAGTAACTTCAAAGCTGCTTATGATACAATGTTAATCAAATATAGGAGAATTTATTAAAATTACTCTCTAGAGATTATTTATGGGGAATTAGTACTGCTTTCTTTATATTTTACTTTAATTCTCCTTAATAGGCATGCTTTCCTCTTATTTAGGAACAAGAATATTTAATAATTAAAAAACAAACAGAATTGGTAGCCAAAAAAATTGGAGGTTGTATGTACAACTGTGCCTCATTTGTAACATGATCAATATTTGAGGAAAGAACAAAGGTAGGAAGAAAGAGGGAGGAAGGAAAGAAGGGACGTCATCATATTTTACAAACTAGACTGATGAGTTAGGGATTATGACTTCCCAGTCATTGCTTAGTTGATGGCATATATAGGAACAGGACATTACGTTCTAAATTGCTTTATTAAGCAATGCTACATTTGAGTATTTCCCAACTGTGACAAGTGGCAAAGCATTAATATTTTCTCACCGGATGAGTACTGTGGAGCCAACACTCACATTGTTTCTTGTCTCACAACATCAGGGATGGATTTTTTGTGAGAAGGTGGAAGAGCTCTAGGCTGTTGGTGTTCAAGACAAAGAGGTTCCTCCTTGACTCTGATTGGCCCTCAGATGGAGGACTGCCATTCTCTCTGAGTCACCCAAATGTCCACGAGTTTGAAATAGTCTCTAATCTGCCAGTCTGTCTGCATCCTAGTTGAATCTTCTTTGTTGAACACACAGTACAAAGAACAAGTATGCAGAATGAATTTACATTAACCAGGAAACCAAAATTACATCCATGTATTCCTATCATGG